CTGTTCCGATCCAAATCATAGTTTCTTAGGATGCGCTTGCGCGAATGTGAGCGCGCGGGCAAGTAGCGCGTGCGCGCTTGGCGCAGCCTGGGAAATCCAACATGGAGCCCCCCGGGGGCGCGGGGCGCCGGCGACGCCTCCGCCCGCCTCCCGCGCGCCCGACCCCCCCCGCAAGCCGACTCCTCCTAGCCCAAAGTGACGCGGACTCGGCAGACTCAAGGCACCTACATGGTCGGTCCTTGCGTCTCAAGATGCGCAGCATCAGCTTTACCCGTGCCAGTGCCCGAGCCAGATGACACGCCGATGATGCGCGACCCCTGGAATGGTGAACGGCCGAGGCTTCCGGGGCGAGTCAACCGGGTGCGCCATGCTTGGCTGGGACAGCATGTGCCATCATTTGCAGAAGCTGGCCAGACCCCAGGCGCTAGCACTCGCCCATCACTGGCCCCGCTGACGACTGCGTCGCGGGGGGGCGCTCCGCAAGACATGCGGGCGGACAAGGAGGTCAAATTTCCGATTCTGGGACGTTTGCATGTCAACGACGAAGATGTTTTGCAACGCTCTCGACGACGATAGGAAGCCAGCGACGAACCGACAAGAGATACCCATTTGCGTCAGTGATTCTTGGTGCATCAGCAGACGGCAGCCCAGGCCGTGACAGAAGCTCTACGAGAAGTGGGCTTGCCCATTGCAGCGGAAAAGTGGAGTCCAGCAGATTGTTGGTCGGTTGGCATGGTTGCGGGTGAGCGATCACATCGCGTTCCCTTCGCCATCGCGCGCCTTAGCTGCATGGGTCGGCAACGTCATGCGCGCCAACCGCGCGACTCACCCCGATTATCAGCATATTTTGCAAAGCAAGGTGGCATTTCTTGGGTCAAAAACCCTGCAGGACGCATGGACAGACCATCGGTGAAATCCACCGCGCGCGGCAGATCGCACGCTGATGCCTCGAACCATGCGCGACCCAACCAGGGCTTGAGCAGCAAGCGGTGCAAATTGGAGCGCCACTTCGATTCTTCAAGGAGCACCCCCTCGTGCATGCAAGATGTACACCGCCCAGCTGATGGCGATGCAAGGCGCGGCGCATCTTAACCACTAAAGAGCGCGACGTCGCGGCGGCAAAGCCCGTGGCTAGAGCCATGGCGCAGGGCATCGTGGAGACGGGACCCCCGACGACCGCTATCGTCTTGCGGGGCCGTCGGTCGACCGACGCTCAAGGGCTCGACCCGGCACCGCGGTCGCGCGATATGACGGCAATGCGAGCAAGTGCTCGACCGGCTGAGAACATCCACGACCAGGAGAGCAGATCATCCGACTCCAGCGCAACCACAAATTCCACGACCACCTGTTGGCATCAACGCAAGGTGATTCGCTAGATTGCCCCAACTGCCCAGCGCCAGGTATAGCCGCAGCTGTAGTTCCGCTCGCTGGTGCTACTTCCATGGAAGACGTGGCTGGCTCGTTCGCAACGCTGCGAGTGCAAGGTGGCCGACGCCAGCGAAGATTGGCACAAGCAACGGCAGCGCCATCACCGCCGTCACCTCCATGTGCCGGCGCCTCGTCGGAAGGTGTTGAGCGGCCTGACATGTCATGTGCAACGGCAGATGGACGCCTGGAGCACTAACCGAGAGATTGGTCTCCCACGCCAGACGCCGGACGAGGTCATCCAGGATGCCGAGGCATCTCGCGGAGACGCGAGCCATCGGATGGTCCGCGTCAAGACGACCTCCCGGACAAGCTCCCAAACGGCATGCCGTCTATGCACGTGGATATTGGCTTCTGCATGAATATTATCGGCGTCCGCGCCCTGGAGGGCGAGTTCAGCCTCGCCATCGCCAAGCGTGGCTTGACCGCAACGTTCTCGCGAAGAACAGCCGGTGTAACTTCGACGGCGCGGGCCAAGCATATTTTATGTTCGGCGATGTTGCCTACGCTCCCACTCGCGCACAATGTCAAGACCGATGCCAGAATGGGTGCTTTCACGGCCAATGTCGCCAGCGATGCAGATCTTCTTTCTCAAGGGGGCGAAGCAACAGCCGCGCCAACGTAATGCCATCCTGATAGTCAGGAGGCGCGAGGCAGATCATCTTCCCAGGGGAACAGAGATGCGCAATGCAATTGCACAGCGGCGATAAGGCCCCACGGATGGTCGAACTTCCTAGTGGGCATGCAGTGATCCCGCAGGACAATCTTGACATTGAAAATGACGAGCAGAAGACCAACGAAAAGGACAGCACGACTTTCCCATCCAATAATTGTCGAGCGTTTGGAGATTGAGAATGAGATAACCTGGCCCCGAAAATGAGCGCGGGAGCTCCTTCTTTTCCTGCGCTTTAATGGGGCCGGTCATGCCGCGGCTTGCTCCAACGAGGGCTTTCCAAATCTTTCACATCTACCAGCGACCCCATTGTTTAAGGTATGCGCGCGGCTCGCTGTATTCCCTGCCGATGCCATGCCATCTGTGGCTGGGTTGGTCATGCTGACGCTTCGACCGCTGGCGGCGTTCAATCGTTCGGTTAGCTTCCCGAAGGAGACTACCCCCTGCCGAGGGTCAGCACGCCCAGCGATTGGCGCTTTCGCATGCTTCGCCAATCCGCCAGGCATCGCTGGCATGAGTTGCAGAATGTGACCAGGAATGCCACGCGTTTTAAGCTGGGCATGGTAATGCGTCGGCCTCCGCGGCGTTTCTGGCAATCACCGCGAACGCGCGGGACCGCGCAAGATGTTGTTTGCAACATCAGTCGAGTTAGACTGCCGCCTCAGTCGCAAGCGCGACGTCTGAGGCCAGTCCCGAAGTGGACCCTGCATGCAGGGCGCGACAGCGCGAGCGCTACCAACGCAACCGTGGTTGCGCAGATGTTCAGCCAACATGAAGGACCACGCGCTGGACTGGCACGTCCAAACAGAGCTGCCCAGCCTCTGGAGGCAAGACTGCACGACCAGACTTGCGGAACAGCTGATGCACCATCTGTTTCAGCATCGACGAACCCCACGCGCCTGCCCCAGCACGCACGAGCGCGCGGGCACGAACGCCGCGCAGTTCGTGAAGACGAACGGCGCGCATTCCAAGATACGCCCTGGCCCGCAGGAGCTCAACGCTGAACGCCGACACGCGCGACCAGGTCGCCCAGGACACCGCAGCATGGGGGGGGCCCTTTCGGGCGCGAGCGGGAAGCAGAGACCCCGCCAGGAATCAAGCATATTACCCCGCGCCTGCGCTGCAGAGATGAAGGAGAGCAACGGTAAGGACGACCACCAGCAACAACACAACGTATTATCATTCGCCATCCTAGATGCCAGGTCTTCCCGCCCTCCGGCCATGGGCGGCGGTCCCGTCGCCGCTTCGGTTTCCGAGCGCGCAGCTCCCCCCACTGCCGATCGTGGAAACACGACGGCGTCCCCCATGAATGTTCGAACGAGACAGAAGTAGAAGCAGAAACGAGACAAGGAAGCCTGTATCAAGCCAGAGAGCGTCCAGCTACCCATAGAATCGGCAATGCGGGACGCTCAGCACGTGCACTTCCATGACAGCGACGAAGACGATGCCTGCGAGGGCATGACCATTGACATGTGCGCGCGCACCAACCTCAACGATTGAATATCTTCAGCATCGCCCCCACCCCGTTGCTATATTGGAACCGTCTGGGGGCCCTCTCGGGCCACCTTGGGGCCGTCTTGGTGCCTTATTGAGTCCCTTTTGGGCCGTCGAGAGGCCGTCTTGGAGGCCTTTGGGGCCGTCCTTGTGTGGCTGCGGACAGTAGACTTAGGCGAGAAAGCCCGCACATGTAACACAAACGCTGGGTAATCACAGTGTTTCGCTTCTGGGGCCTCTTTCTGAGGTACTCTTGGGGGCTCTTTGGGCGTTCATGGGCTCATGGGCTTTTTGCTTGCCACTTGGGGGCCGTTTTCGGTCATGTTAAGGCTGTCTTGTGTCCATGGTGGGGTAGAGGAAATCTTGGACCGCATGGGGAACTTTTTTCGAAACCGTCCAGAGACCACGTGGGCCGTCGGAAATCTTCAAACATTCCAGGAGGAGTTTGGGGTCTTGGGAGTACATATCGGAGTAGCCGCGCGCACAAGGCATCATCGTCAAAAGGTCGGGTGTATTATTCCTGTTGTGTTTGCATATCTCATTGCACTGTGTGATCGAATCGCTATTTGCATCTGCAAATATTTCTTGTTAGAGGGATTTCATGGTGTTTTGTGGGTTCACACCTCTTTTATGTTTTTGCTCGGATTTCGCCTGCGGGTTTGCCTCCGCCCTCTTGGTCAGTGTTGTTGTCATTTGCTGCCTAGCAAAGCATCGACCCGAATGCCACGAAACGTTCTGGGCCATGGTGGCGGGGTGAGCTAGACCTCGGGGCTATTTTGACGCTTCAGAAGCTCATTTGAGGCGAAGAACGGGGAAAACCTAAAAATCACTGAACGGCCGAATGTCTCCATGACTATACCGTCTTCATCCCTCATTCATCGCCCCTCCTCTCCTCCTTCGCCTGCTGTGCCCAATTCGGTCACGTTGCACCCCACGGCTGCCTCTGAACGCGACGAGAACTCCTCGCCGCTGCGACAACAAATGTTGGATGACGTTGGCCTCTCGGAAGTATCCTCGGGAGACCCCAATGGTCATTTAGAACCGCACGCTTATTTCGCCAGATTCGGCTACATGGTGTTATCTTCGACGCCATCTTGAGCTGTCGGGACCATTTTTGGCCATTTCGGAAACTCTAAGTATCTGGACCCCCTTCGTCCAGACCCAGTGGGCTTCATCTCCAGGTCAAGCGACACGCAGGGCATAATGGCAATAACACGATTACTTTTACCCCAGGTCTCGAAAACGCTCAGAAATTCTTCAGCGATCAGAGGAAGAGAATGAACGAATCCTGTCGTATCCAGCCCCCCCGCCGTCGCCATCCCTCTGTTGCTGCGGCCATGCCGGCCTCAAGGCGACTGCGGTGAGCGTCTTGGTTTCAGCTGCTCCCCGTCCGTTTCGCCCGGCCACGATGGCGTGGGACCAGACCTACAACCTGCTGTGGAGCTCCAGGGTCGCCACAGAAGAGAAGGCCTTCCTCGAAGCGAACCGCAGCCATCCGGCCCTGCTGAGCTTGGCGGAGTCCTCGGGCAGGCAGGTCGGGGGCGGCCAAGAGGGAGTGGCTGACCAGGGGGGGTAGATAGCATGGCCAGATCCAAAACCTCTCCGTAGTTATCATGGCCCCCCTCTCTTATGTTGATGCGTCCCCTGGCCCGTCCCCCGGGCCACGCATGCGCCTCAGACCACGACTTGCGACCCCCCCCCTTCACGAGCGTCGAACATGTCCGCATCCGTGCCCTCGCGGGCGCGATCCCGCGGACGCGCTCCGCGCGGGGCATCCGCGAACAAAAAACGCCCCGTACCTGGACCCCCGACGTTCGGTTCTGAGTTTTTCATGGCGTCGACCCCCAGCGGTCTCGACCCCCAGCGGTCTCGACCGGTTTCTCATCCCGAGTCGTTTCCCGACGGCCCCGAGGCCCGGTGCGGGCCCCCGGAGGCCGAACAGGGCGAGCCACCGCCCGTCGTGCGTGTCTCATGACCCGAGGGGGTCTGGGTATCCGCGTGGCCGCGGCCCCGGGGGGCCCGGCCCGTGCGGTCTTGGCGTCGCTCGGACGTGCGCACTCTTCCTCGGCGAGGGCCATGGAGGACCACCCTGGACCATCGAGCAACAAAAAAAAACACGCACGACACCGAAAGGAATGCACGGGAAGTGGACGTGTCCGACATGCGGCCAGGGTGTGGTTCGCCCTCTCGACGCCCGGGGCGCCCCCGGGCAGAGGCCTGCAGACCGGGGCAGGACGGGCGGCTCGGCGCTGTCGCAGGCCGGCGCCAGCACCGTGTCGCAGCTCCCGAAGACGGGCCGCTCGCGCGGGTCCACGGCGACCCGAGGAGGAGGAGGAGGAGGAGGAGGAGGAGGAGGAGGAAGAGGAGGAGGAGGAGGAGGAGGAGGAGGAGGAGGAGGCGAGCGTAGAAGAGGAGGAGGAGGAGGAGAAGGAGGAGGAGCGAGGAGTAACGAGGAGGAGGTGGAGGAATCGCAGGCGGAGGCGGAAGCGGGAGGAGGAGGCGCGGCTCCGCTGCGGGCCCGCCCGCCGAGGAGGAAAGCATAGCTTGGGCGCTCTCGCCCTATGATGTTCGAAACTACTTTAGCCCTGATCACCAGAAAGTATTCCGAGCGCCCCAAGAAAGTGCCGAAACTCGAGGGGTTTCACGTGTCTGGCCCTGGGAGACGCTCGTTCGACACCGTTTCGACACTCTTTCGACGCTTCTCCGGGCGTTCGAAGGTAGTTCCGGGATGTGGTCCTGAAGTACGGTGGGAGCAATCGGCGTCACCCCAACATACTCATACTATATGTGCGTCGCCCCCCCGGGGGCGATGCGCGCACCGAGGAATCTTATAGTATATGCGTTGTGGCGGGCGCATTATGGCCACACCGCTCGGGAAACGATATACTACAAGATGGGTATACTATATGTTCGGGTCGGACGCGCGCGTCCAAGGATGACATATAGTACCAGTACGTCTTTGTGCATCCCAAGCAACAGAACTCTCGCCAAGCCTCGGGCCCCCAGAGGGAGGACCCCCCGCGGGTCGATCGTCGAAGGTAGGTCTGCGGGCGTTTTCGGCTGTGCTCTCTGCGGTTTCTGTTCGGCCTCGGGATGGCTTCCAGCAGCTTCGCCCTGCGAAGGGGTGCCCTGGGGATGCCCAGATCGTCCCGAGCGGCTGCCAGAGACCTGAGCTACAAAACGACAGGTAAGTCGGTCACGTCCCTCTACATGATGAATGTTCAACAATTGTTAAACAATTACTCCATGGACGATTTTGCAAATATGTTTGACTATGTTTGATGAGTTGTTTGGGGAGTATTCTAATTTTTAGCCCAAAATCCGCCTGTAGGAGGACATGCCCGACCTAAAACGACAGGGTTATCGCAAGTGTTCGGCCTCCAGGGGCCCTCACCAGGGCCCGGGACAGGTAAAAGACGACTCAGGATGAAGAACCAGTCCTGGGTAAAGGGTCCATGTATGTTTAGCCACGTTGAAACAACTCGCGACGTCGGATGTCTGTGAAGCATACCATTGCCGTATTAGCGCGCCTGTACAGGGTCCGTCTGGACCCGATCGGTCTGGTTCGATGCCGACTTTGGTTGGCTCGATCCGAATCGATCCCGATACTCCGACGATCCTATGCGACCAGATGCTGGCATCGCGCTGTTCTGCATCCAGACGTGGCCGATTGGTGATCTGATTCCAGCTGTGTTGACCGCGCTCAAGCCCCCTCCCAGAGCGAAGGTGGTGGCGCAACTCGCGGCCCAGGGGGCAAGCGTGTGTGGGGGTGCGCGGGGAGAAGCGCGCTTCGGGCATCGCGGGGCGCAGCGGCGCGAAGTTGGAATGTTTGGGATCCCGATGAAATTTGGTACCAAATCATTGGGCCCTGGTGTACCCTCGTGACTCTGTCTTCAGAGTACACTCGCGTCGATTATCGTCTGGTGATCGATGAGATAATGCATATTTGGCGTCGGCTAGCGTCGGTTGGCGTCGATTTAGCATCGACTAGTGTCGATTAGCGCCGATTTGCAAGAGCCGGCAAGATGAATGTTTCATTTGTTGTCCAAAATCCGCCTGTGGAGGGACATGCCCGACCTAACCTTGGCTGAAGGCATCCTTCGAACTTACGACCCCAGCATTCACTTCGGTTCAGAAATCCGGCCTGCCGGGACAGCGTTCGCATGTGGTTGCTTGGAAGTTGCATCAGCACGGTCTGACCTGCCCAGGCGATGTCCACGTCCGCGTCTGAGGGCGCCTTGGCCTCCATTCCGGCGCACCTGGCCCCCCTGGCGCGATTCCCGGTGGCAGACAGGGACCTCCTGAGCGCGCGGGTGGTCAAGACCGCCGACGGCAAGACGCCCACGATCCGCTTCAAGAAGGAGATCGTCGAGGTCCGGCAGCGCGCCGAGGAGGGTCTCGAGAAGGGCAGCGGGGGGCTTCCTGGAAGCCCTCCTGCCCTCCAAGAAGCCTCCTCAGTGGAATCCGGCCTGGTGGTTGAGCCAGCGCATATTGTGATCGTCCATTGGGCTGGGATACTTCGTTCGTCAACACAAATGGGTCGCCACTTCGGCCCCGACATTTCGTTCGCCAACACTTCGTTCGTCAGCACGAGATGAGTCGTCAATTTGGCCCCCACAGTGTGCCGTCAAGACTGAAACACTCGTCGACCATCAGCTCGGCCCCGAGATGTCGTTCGTCAAGACAGGATACGTCAAGGGGGGTCGTCAACGGGGTTTGTCAACTCAGATGGAGGCCGTCAATGTGGCTCGTCAACCCCGAAGGGAGACCGTGAAGGGGGAACGTCTAGGGGTTCGTCAATTCGGAAGGAGACCGTCAAGGGGGTTTGTGAACTCGAGGGAATGCCATCTAGGCAGTTGGTCAACGCGGAAGGAGGCCGTCAAGAGACAGAGAGAGTTTACCGCCAAATGTTTCCATTGGGAGGGAGTTGACGGCCAGATCTTTTCACTAAGAGGGAGTGGACGGCTCAAGCGCGGGACAAAGTATACAGGGCCATCCGGCGTGGCGTTCAGACCCCTCTCTAGACCAGCCGCCCGCGACAGGCCCGACTTCCTAGCAACCTGGGGCCCGTCTGCAAAGCCCTTTGAGCCTCCTTTGACAGCGCCGCCCCACCCCCACCCCTCGCAGCTCCAAAATTGGATGCGGGCGGGGAGGTTTGAGCTTTCCAAGGGTTTCAAAGGGCACCGTTCTAGTTCCAACTCAGTTTCGCTCCTTCGTGCCCTCGCTCCTCCCTCCTCCTCCTCCTACGTCTCCTCAGCCTTCTCTTCGTCATCCTCAATCCCTTGCTCGCTCCTCATCCGTCCCGATCGCTGTCTTTATCATGTTCCAGTTCTTCCTATGATTCCAGCTAGGGGTTTAAACCAAAAGAGCAAGGGACAACAACTGAACCAAAGAAACCACATATCCAGGATTTTAAGCAAAGAAACAACAAGGGACCACTAAGCACACCAAAACAACATTATATATTTTCCCATGTGGGGGGCTGCGGGGATGACTAAGTCGTGTAATTTTGTTTGCTTGTGTTGTGCTTGACTGTTGTTCTTTGTATGCTTCAGCTTTTTGAGCTTGGAAACCAGCAAACACTTGTCTGCGTCGGCGGCTAGGCAGAGTAACTGCGCGGGCGGAAGAGCTTGTAAACTAACAAACGCATATAATCACACAGCAAGCACACAGCACTCACCTACCGAGGACTGAAACACATAATGAAGCACACGGAAGCAACACCACAACCAACAGACCCAAGTTTTACAGCCTTTTCTCTGTGGAGGCGGCGGAGGGTACTCAGTGTGTGTTTGTTGTTGTGTTTATTTGTGTGTGCGTTAGTTGTCTGAGCCGTCGGTCGTTGGTTTCGTTGTTTCCTGGTTCGCCTAGTGATTGCTTAGTTTCTCATTGTTTCTCAGTTCCCGTCCCCCCGTCCGTAGCCATTTTGGCTCAAGGGCGCGGCCCTCCGCCCCGCACCTTCCCATGGCCGCGGCGCCCGCGCGGCCCGCGCCGCGCCACTCCTGGTCGACGGCGGCGCGTGCGGCGGCGGCGGGCGAGGCTCGCGCCAGGCCGCCCGCGCCGAGGGTCGCCGCGCGCGCGCGCGGCGCGCGGGCCTCGGAGGCCGCGCCGTGGGCGCCGCCGCCGCGGGCGCGCGCGCGGGCGCGGCCTGCGCGCTCGCCTCCGCGGTGGGCTCCCGCGCCCGCGGGCGTGGGGCGGCGCGCCGTCGGTGCGGCGGGCGGCGCGCCGTCGTGTGCGCAGCGGGCGGCGGGCTGCCCGCGTTCGACGCGGGCAGGGCCGCGGCGCCAGGGAGCGACCTCGTCGTGACGACTGCGAGAGCGCCGTCGCCGGACGTCGAGGCGCAGGCGGCCGAGGTGAGTGCGCGCCTGGGCGCGCGGCTCGTGGTCCGCGGGAGGAGGCCCCTGCTGGACGTGCTCGCGGAGTCGAGGTCCGGCCTGGCGTACCTCGTGGGGGGCGCGAAGTGGAAGGAGCGCGTGGAGGTCCGTCACGAGATCTGTGATGGCCGCGGGGGCCGCGTGTTCGTCAACCCACGCATGTGGAGGATCATCCCCGACGTGATGCGCCAGCCGCTGATCCAGGCCGTCGCGCCGGCCGGCGAGCCGCCGCCTGGGGACGTCATCGACGCCACCGCGGGCCTCGGGGGCACGTCGCTGCGCATCGCGCACGCCTGCGGCGCGCGGTGCAGGCTCACCGCGTGCGAGATCTCGGCGCCGCTGGCGTGCCTGCTGGACTTCGGGCTGCGGCGGCTGGCGGCGCAGGGCGAGGAGTGGTCGGAGCCGGCCTCGCGCGTGCGGGCTGTGCATGCGGACGCGCTCGAGCTGCTGAGCGCCCGCGCCCTTGCCCCGCCCGCAGAGCGGCCAGACGTGGTGTACCTGAACCCCTGCATGGACCTCGGCAGCGCCTCCGCCGAGGACGCATTCCTGCACCGGGTGGCCAACCTGCGCCCCATCGCCCAGGACGTCTTCGAGGCCGCCGTGGCGTGCGCCCGGCGCCGAGTGGTGCTGCGGCACCAGCGCGGCCTGCCGCCGCCGTTCGGGCTCCGGGACGGCGCCCCGGCGGCCCGCGTGGTGCGCGGCGGGCAGAGCGACTTCCTCGTGCTGGAGGTGTGAGCGGAGGGCCCGGGCGCGGCGGCCCGCGCGCTGCGCACGCGCGGGGTGCCGCGCGCGGCGATTGGAGACCGTCCGGGGGGGGGGGAACAAAAAAAAGAGTTCCCATCCCCCCCTGGAGGGGAAGAGAAGGACGAAGAGTTGGAGGAGGAGTAGGAGGAGGAGGAGGAGGAGGACGAGGAGGAGGAGGGCGAGGAGGATTAGCCTCCCACGCCTGGAGAAGAGGAAGTGGAGAGAGGGGGACGTGAAGGGGAGAGGGAGGAGGAGGAGGAGGAGGAGGAGGAGGAGGTCGGAGCGACGATGAGCATGACGAGGAAGAGGAGCATGAGAAGGAGGAGGAGGAGGAGGAGGAGGAGGAGCATGACGAGGGGAAGGAGCATGAGGAGGAGATGGAACATGATAGAGGGCATAGGCGGTAGAGCGGGAGGCGCACGGGCTCCAGCAGCACAGCCACGCCCAAGAGCAGAGGCAGGGCCCCCACAAGGGTCTTCCAGGGGGCTGGGAAAAAAGCCGCTCTCGTTCCCTCTCAGCGGCGCTCCTCCGTTCTCTCGCGCCTCCCTGCTCCGTCTCCTCATTCTTCTTCGTCATCGTCGATCCCTTGCTCCCTCCTCATCCTTCCCGATCGTCCTCGTTATCATCTTCCAGTTCTTCCCATTCCTCCAGCTAGAGTGGGTGGGAAGCAATACAAAGCCACTAGGGGCGCATAACACAGAAACCACAGACCCAGGACTGAACAGCCCACACAATGCCAGAGAAAACAACAAGAAGCAACTGATAGCACTTTCCCTGTGAGAGCGTCGGGGTGACTACGCAGTTCATTAGTTGTTGTTTTCTTTCGGTGTTCCATGTTTTTGTTTCTAGGCTTTCTGACCCATCGGTCTTTGGCGTTTTTGGTGTCGTTTTCCTAATTCATTGTTTGTGTTCAGTTCCCATCCCCCCGCCTGGAGGGGACGAGGAGAAGGACGAGGAGGAGGTGGAGGAGGAGGAGAGGAGGAGGAGGAGCAGGAGGACGACGACGAGGACGAGGATGACCAGTCTCCCACGCCTGGAGATGAGGAGGTGGAGAAAAGGCGGAGGAGAGGAGGAGGATCAAAAGGAGGAGGAGGAGGCCGCGGCGACGGTGAGCATGATGAGGAGGAGGAGAACCATGAGGATGGTTATCATGAGGAGGAGGATGATGATGATGCCGAGGAGGAGGAGGAGGAAGAGGAGGAGGAGGAGGAGGAGGGAAGGAGAAGCACTGAGCACGGAGGAGGGCCCAACGCTCCCCACGCTCATTGAATCTGGCGCCCCCCTCGCCACACCCCCTTTCTGCGCGCGGCCAACAGGCAGGGCTCCTTGCGGTTCGACCGATCCGATTCGATGTCGAGTCGATTCCGGCCAGCTCGATCCGATTCGATTCCACAACTCCGAAGATCCGATGCGGCCCGACGAACGACTGCACGGCGTTGTTGTGTTTCCTGGCGCAGCAGATCCGATTAGAGCGCGACTCCGTGCCGATGCGGCCCGATCCAGCGCGCATCCCAATGCGATCCGACATCCCGATGCGCCCCGACGTCCCGATCTGAGGCTGACTGGCTTTGCGTCTGCGCGTCGCCCGACAGGTGACGTGGGGCAGCGGCCACATCGTCACCTACAAACCGGAGTTCTCCGGGGCAGCGATAGCAGGGGATGGGCTCAGGGGGGAACGCATCGACCCCCAATCGCCGATTGATCGCCGAATAGGGTGTGATAGCCCCAGCCCCGCCCAGGAACGCGAGGGTTTGCTCTCTGAGTTCGGTCGCCGATCCATCGGCGACGAATGGCCGATTCCAGGTCGATGTTCCCCCCCTGACCAACCTCCCCTCCCACCGCAGTCTCTCAGGTTGGAAGAAGAACAGCACTGCATGAGTTTGAACGTTCGGAACTCCGCGAGCGGATTGCCTGGGTCGGCACCGTGTGCCCAGCGGCGCCTTCCCGGCGCCGACCCCTCGGCGCGTTCCGCTCGCCCACGCTCCCGTATCCGAGTCCTCGAGGGGCGCCCCGTCCCCCCAGGTTGATGATGTTCCACCCCGCTTTAGCCTTGACCACCAGAAGGAATTTCGAGCACCCGGAAAGAGCGTCGAAACTGGGGGGCCCCGAAGGGCGGCATCCCCGGGCAAGTCTGCACGCTTCGGGTTCTGGGAGGCGATGTTCGACACTGCGCCAGCGTCTCGCCAGCGTTCTGGGTGCTCGAATTTTCTTTTGGGGATCTGGGTCCGAAGTACACTTGGAACAACAGAACCCTAGGTCACTCCCAGGGGGCGCGAAGGTACTCGCGCCTCGCGCGTCCTCAGCTCGGGTTGGAGAGGCGCCCTTCTCCAGGGCGGCCGCGCGAGGGCGCGAGGATAGCCGCGCGTCGCGCATCGCGGGGCGTGGTGCGCGAAGTTTGGTGACCCAGGTCCGACAGGAATAACGCCAGGGTCCAGCGCCGATCCAGGAAGTCCGCGCGGACCCCCCTTCAGCTCGTGCGACAGACGCCCGTGGCCAGCGCTGATCCAAGAAATCCGCGCGGGCCTCGGAAAGTTTCTGGCTGCTCTGAGGCGGGGATTCATCCATGGCCAAAGCCCGGGAGATCGAGCTTCGGAGGCCTCGGCGGGCTGTGGATATGGATGCATTCGGGCCCCGCGGGGGCCAAACAAGTCCATATCCACCGCCTGCCGAAGCCCCCGAAGAACAGAACAGTTCCCCAGGCGGTGGTCATGGATACGTCCCCGCCTAGCAGTCATGCCGTTTTCTGTTCCTCTAGAAGTTCGTCTGAATCCGGCTCAGTGGCCAGATCTGGCCTGATTCTATTCCGGGCTGACATAGTCTGGCCTAATGGCCCCGTAATCGAGCTTCAGAGCCCGCGATCGTTCTGACGAAGCTCTCCCAGGAGTTCTCTCTGGATGGTTATGCCGTTTTCTGTTCCGCGGCCGTGAAACATGTCCGCGTCCATGGCTTTGCAGGCGGGCCCTTGGGAGAGTTTTTCTCGCAGATGCCCCGCGCGGACCCGTGCGACCGCTGATCCGCGGGAGAGCGCCCTGGAATCCAGACCGCGAGGGCATGGATATGGATACGTTCGCCGCTCGTGAGTTATGCCGTTTGCTGCGCCGACAGAGGGAAGCCCGACGTAAGGCCGACGTGAGGCCCACGTGAGTCTGAAGTCGCGCAGCGATGTTCCCACGAAAGTCCGATATGAATTTGACGTGAATCCGACGGAGGCCGACGGAAATCCGACGTGGGTCCACCGTAAATTCGGTCTCGAGTTGCCGCGCGAGGCCTCCAGGAGTTTCCTTATCTTCGTTCGGCTCCTCGAGGAGTTCGTCCTGGAGGACCCGCCCGACTGGCAGCCAGAGGACATCCTCAGGCACAGGCCAGGCGGGCGCAGGCGCAGGGCGGCGTCCTCGGGCGCGTCCGCGTCCGCGGCTCCCGGCAGTGGCCGCAGGTGAGGCTCGCCCACGGTGCGCCTCCACACTGCAGGCTCTGGGCCTCCCAGGTGTGGGGTCCGAGTAGACGGGGTCGGAGGATCGCGCTGCATCACCGATGTATCGGCGATGCGGCTGGATGTGGAGCCCGATGTTCTCCGCGCTGGTGTCGCCGATGCATCGCCGACGTCGACAGTGTATCGCCGAGGCATCGGCGATGCTGCCCCATCCTCGGACCCCGCCTACTCCGACCCCATCTGGGGGGCCTCTTCCACAATATCTCTTAGAATGCAACTCATTGGAGGTTTCGTTCATAATGGGCGCTGGTGTAAACCTGGTCGGACACTGGCCTGATCTCGTTGAATCCCCTTGAATCCGGTTTCATTCCGTTCAATCCTGCTTACTCCGAGGTTTAGTCTGACATAATCGTATTCTTTGCTTCTTTAATCGGGTTTATCAGCTTGTAATCGTTCTGACGACGGCCTCCCAGGAGTTGCCTCTTAATCCAGCTGCCTGCGGCAACCCCCGCCACCGTGCCTGTGCATCCGCGATGCAGGAAGGAGACTGAGTGTAGAAGCAGCGCAATCTCGACCAATTGTATGAGAATGACGGGTCGTGAACTCGACCTCGTCGTCGTCCGCGCAATAAGAAAGATGTCGAGTTCACGCCCCGCAGCTGTTCAGCGAGTAGTCTGAACTGCTGAGGGCCGTGATCCCGACATCGTCTCCGTCTTCAGGAGGAGGAGAAGGAGGAGGAGGAGGACGACGAGGAGGCGGAGGAGGAGGAGGAGGGGGATGAGGAGGAGGAGGAGGAGGAGGAGGAGGAGGAGGAGGAGGAGGAGGAGGGGGAGGAGGAGGAGGAGGAGGAGGAGGAGGAGGAGGAGGAGGAGGAGGAGGAGGAGGAGGGGGAGGAAGAGAAGGGGAGGAGGCGGAAGCGGCGGCGCAGGACGAGGACGAGGATGAGGAGGAGGAGGAGAAGGAGGAGGAGGATGATGAGGAGGACGAGGAGAGAAAGGAGGAGAAGGAGAGGGAGAAAATGATGACGAGAGGAGGAGAAAGCTTCTTGGGGCCCTGTTGGGGCCCCCTGGGGGCCTGGGAGCCTCCCGGGGGGTCTCTTGGGGGCCTCTTTGGAGCCTCCTGGGGCCTCTTGGGGGTCTCTTGGGGTCGTTTTAGGGAGGCGATTGGCCCATCTGACGCATTCGGTGACGGTCTTGGAGGCCTCTCTGGGCCGTCGTGGTGCCCTCTTGGAGCACTTTATGGCCGTCTTGGGGCCCTCTTGAGGGCTTCTCGGGCGATCTTGGAGTCCTCGTGGACCGACTCGGGGCCCTGTTGAGCCGTCTTAGGCGGTCGGAAGCCCAAATAGGTGAGAACCTCAAACTCCTTCAAACGTGCAAGGGCTATGAATGATTTTGGCATCGCCTCTTGGGCGATCTGGAGGTCCTCACGGAGTGCCTCGGGTCCCTCTTGGGGGCCTCATGGGCTGCCTCGGAGCTGTCTTGGACGCCCCTTAGGCCGTCTTCGGCGGTCGGATACCTAAGTAGGCGAGAACCTCAACCTCCGTCAGACACCTAAGGCAAATCTACGGTTTGGGCCTCCTTGGTCTGGAGGGCCTCTTGGAGCCCTCTTGGTCCGTTATGAGGGCCTCTGGAGTTGCCTTGATGCCGTCTTGGGAGCCGCTTGAGCCGTTTCGGGCCATTTGTTTCCGTCTTGGTGTCATCTTGATTGCCCCGGAAGCCGTCATGGAGAGCATCTTGGCCGTTTGGAGGCTGAAAAGAGCGCCAGAAAGCAGTTCTGAGGAGGCGATGTTTCAACCACGCGTGCCAGGAGGGGGGGGGCGTAGAACGCATCAAACACCTCCGAGGCACCAAACTAGGTATTCTAGCACGCCCACTCCGTGCAGGCACGGTGCCGGATACCACGCATGTGAGGCTCGCCAGAGGTGCGCTTCCGCACTTATCTCCTGTGGAGCAAGCGGGACATGCGGAAAACGGGTCCTCAGAGGATAACAACATGTGACGACACGGCGTTCTTGCCTCGTTTTCGCCGTTTGGGGTCTCCTGGGAGGCCCTCGTCCCCACGGCTGGACACGCATGGGGATTCACGTCAGAGCGCACCCCAGGAGAGGTCCAGGGAGTAGCGATGTCTGTTACGCTCGGTTGCCTCTGAAAACGGACCCTCTAGGTTTTCACCCGTTTCTGGGTTCCAGAGCCCCCTCCCCTTGGGCCCCAGGACTTCCTGGAAAAGGTTGAAGGCGAAAGTCCGGTCGTCTTGGGGAAAAGCCCCGGGGATTGAGCCTCGTTCTCGTCAGGACCCGTAATTACCCTTTCATGGTGGTATTGGTGGACCCCTGTTTTTCACGTGGATCCCTGCGCGCAAGGCTTCAGGGCTTTTTTTAGTACTTCGAAGAAGACATCATTAAACCTACTCTGTCGAAGGTCCGGTTGGATTTCCTGTGCTGGCGACGGCCCCCCCCCTTTCCCTGGCGCGCAGAGCGCGACGGGGGCGGCGCATCGGCGTCCAGCGCCGCAGCGCCGGTCCAAGGATGTCTCGCGGACTTCCGAAAGTGTTTGTTTACGCTACAGCCGCGGCAAAGTTAGCCTCAAGCATGTCCTACGGTGACTGCGATGTATTTGTATGCGCCGCCCCTCCAATGTCGGTCATCATCGAACTTCCGAGTCGTTCCCGGCCAGGCCTTTTTTGCCCTGGCCCCGACATTGGAGGAGCGTCTATCGACATTGAAGGGCGTGCCGACATCGCAGGGGCGTGGTCGCCATTTTTGAGGTTAATTTTGACGAGGATAGTAGGTGCTCTTCTTCAAATCATCGGCGTGCGCCGATGTTTTTATTTATGAGGACCCCTGAGCTCAAGGCTTCGGGGCTTGCTTGCTTGTTCATATATTGTGCGCTTTTCGCCCCTCGGAGACGGCTGCGGCCACGCGACGCGAAGCGATGCGTGGCATGAGCACGCGCAATGTATGCTGGAAGAGCGGCTAGTCAATCTAATAGCAGGACACGGTTGGTTCGGGGAACCGCAAGTCTCGCTGGATCTCGGTTTCGCCGAAGTTTCTTGACAGGCCCGCCTTCGACTTTGACGATTCAGCGTTCGTTGGGTGTTTACAGCGGGAGTTCGCGTCAAATTTCAGACTGGGTCTCCTGGTTAGATTCAAATGTCAAATTGCACATTCCTGACGGCCCTGTCAGGCCAACCCCAGTCCCCAGAGCCCGAAGGAGGATTACGTCCTCTTGTTTGGAACGTGGAGACGGCCATGGGGGCAGGGGGTTCTACAGTAACGAAGAAGACACCAGAATGTCAGCAGGTGCCTCACGCTAACTTATTACTCCACGGACAGGGTCTATTTCGATCCGATCTATCCGATTCGATATCGATTTTGGCCGCCCCGATTCGATTCGATTCCGAGTTTGTTCGGGCGATCCGATGCTTTTCGATTCCGGCTCCGTGCCGACGCGACCCGATCCGGTTTTCCCGTTTCGATGTTGGTTGATGTTGCCGGAGACATTGGGAACCCGTGGTGTTATTGACGAAGCCGAGCGCCGAATAGGAATTGCGCCCCCTCGTGCAGGTCTTGCAGTATCGGCGGCACCCCAACCCACTAATGCTATGTGTGCGTCGCCCCCCCAGGGGCGACGCACGCACCGAGGAATATTTAGTTCTAATGCGTCGTGGCGCGCGCTTTCTCGTCATACCGCGCGGGAGACAAAATTACATACTACAATATGGTTACATTCCATGTTCGGGTCGGACGCACGCCTCCGACGAGGACACATGGAACCAGTCTGTCCTCGTGCGTCCCACAGGTAGGGCCCCGAAGGCGCGTTCGCCGCCCCCACGCGCCGAGCCCACCGCCTGCAGCGGCCCCGCCCAGAACTTCGACCGCGCCGCGCGCGATCCGCCGATCGCCGCCCGCCTCGGGAGCGCACGGCCTGCCGCAGGAGCGCCCCCGCCGCACGCGTGCGTGCCCCTCCACGAGGGGCGGGCCCGAGCGGGTGGGGTCGGGGGATGGCGGCGCATCGCCGATGCGTCGCCGATGCGGCTCGACGCGGGGCCCTATGTTCTCCATGCCGACGGTGCCGAGGCATCGCCGCTGGGCGAGACAGGGGAGCCCTTCAGTGCCCCCCCCCCCCCCTCCAATGCAACGCTGCTTCCAGATCATTCCTCAGCACAGGCGTGCGAGGACAGAAGAAGTGGAACCTCTAGGCCTCCGCGAGACCCAAGTGAGTTTTTGGGTCTTGGAAGGGCTCCATGTTTCCTTCGTGTCCCCTCTCACCAGAGGATCCCCCCACCCCCTGCCTCCTCGGCGCTGGTGGTGGTGGGGCCGCTGTGTCCCTGCGCTCCTGCACACGAGGGCCCACGGCGGCACTTCTTTCTGGGAAGCCCCGCGTTCTTCCCTCGTTGCTGGATGCCGGCTTGGAGGATCGAAACGGGTACAGGCAACCTGCACAATCAGGATGGGCATTCTTCCCGAGGGGTACCCTTGCATGCTTGCCTCCTCGGCCCATCCTTGGCCGCTGTCGCTGGCCGCTCCCCGCTCAAAAGGTGTCGACATGGCCTTCCAAGGCCCTTGCATCCATACCACGCATCCTTATGATACGGGTCGACGGTACGGAAAATGCCCACGGCTAATCCTGCCCATTTTGAACAGGAAGCGTTGTCGGTGTCGTTCGGCGGCAAGCGAGGGGGGGAGATGAGAAAGAGAATGCCTTCTCAAAAGGCGGCGGGACTTCTCAGAAGCCCTCGCGCCTTCTGAGAAGTTTGTTTTGCCTTCGGGGAAGGCTTAGAAGACTTCTCAGAAGGCCCGGGGGACTTCCGATCCTTCTGAGACGGCCTCCTCCTTCCCCGCACCCATCCTGGGCCTGCCAGACCAGCAGGAGATCCGGGACCTTCGCCCCTGAAGCCGACCCCCCAGACTCACTTGGGTCGGACGTACGAGGAGGATAGGGAAAGGGAAGGGGGGTCGAAACAATAGCACCGACAGGTAAGTCGGGCACGTCCTTCTACAGGAGGAAT